ATGTGATAGTTTTTAAACAAAAAATCTGCAGAAAGTCACTATTCCAAAAGTCGCGGGCAAAAGCTAGTAAACTTATAAAAATGTATTACACTAACGACTATTGTATATAATACTACATAAATTAAATATACAGACATATTAACCATATGTTATATGCATATATATTGCAATGATTACCATTTACAAATAACCGTTATAGTATTTACATAGAATTATGTAAGTGAGCCTGCACCACCCATACATACATTCATACGTACAACGTGAAATCGTAGAACATCAACGGAATGCCAAATTAATATTCGGCAAAATGAATTCCAGTTTCACTTTTTAAATTCGAAAGTCATACTAAAAATTTTTCTAAACTAGAAATTAATTTTATTGATTTTATCAGCATTCTAATGTTTCGTTGTTACTGACAGTTTGCGTTTTCATAGATATCTTGTAGTTTCTGCCGCTGCCGATGCATACAAGTGAATGAAATGTTGAAGAAAATGAAATGTAGGATTATAAAAAGTATATAAAATTGAAAAGTGTGAGTGTGTCTTTTAATTATAGAAACGAATAATCAGTAATTTAATGAAATTACTGTGTATTAAATTACTACTAGAAATTAGATTAGACACGGAAAAAACCTCATCAATGTCAACGTAGCACCAAAAAATTAACTTATCAAGTATTCATTAGTAACTACTACTATTTAAAAAAAGACTAGTAACGACAAGAATATTCCCCAAACAAAACTTCAACTGCAACATACGTCACAAGTCACAATGTACTAGATGTGGGGCGTATATAGGTTCAAGTCCTGTGCCGGTTGCGTGGAGGCGCGCGGGCGCAGGCGGAAGTGAGAACGCCCGAAAGAAAGTACTCGTTGGCAACCGGTCGTGATAGTAGGCCATCAGAGTTCACCACGAACGCTAGCTCGCTCGTATCACCGTCAAAACATGACATACTATGACTATCCCGTTACTGTGTAGGCTGTTGTCATTTAAACCCTATACAATAAATTATTAACATATTGATTAGGACATGAATCACAGGGAAACAGGACCTGTTTCAATTATCCAAACAAAAAAATGCTAAATTTTTTTACATGGCAGTTTTTTATACACGAATATGTATGGTTCGTTGTTTTTTACACAAAAACATAAAGAATTTTCTGAATATTTTTTAAGAAATATTCAGAAAAATCATCATATATCTTCTCTCTCCCAAGGTGAGACGAGACGAATAATGATATACTTACTGACTTAAAACCAAAACGTTCCTTCACCTGCTCCAAGCAAAGGCTTATGCTTGCTCTACAATCATGCACTATTCACACTCGACTAAGATTTTAGAATCCTTGGTGGTAATTAACAAAACGTTCAAAAACTTAATTAAATATGGTTTGAAAGATATAATTAAAAATATTAATGTATATAATAATTTTGAAAGTTATTTGTAATTAGCATACAAATGAAATTAAGTTCATAAACCTAAAAATAAGTTATGTTTATAGAAGTTACATTGTTTATCATGTTGTAACGACTTCTGTGGGAGGGTATCGGTTACCACTTACATTTAACGACCCATAAACATTCACTTTAAAAGCTGACTCTTCCATTTTCAAGCAAGGTCTATAATTAAACCTCAGAGATAACCAGTTAAAAGAAAGGAAGAAAGCATAAAATGTTAAAGTTAATCGAATTATATAATTTTGATCTAAGCATTAACTATGAAGCGTAATATTGGAGAAAATAAAACCAATTACACGTCATAAATTATTGTAAAGTGAAATCGAAAAACGACAACTAAGTTGGTACTTTGATTTCGTATTTCTGAAATTGTGACTAAGTTTGCTTTTACATTAGTACTGGTACAGTATAAAAGTCTTTAGACCTTAATTAATATGAACAGAAATTTACTAGCAAATGATTTTAATAAAATACAAAAAATTGGTAATAAGGATAAGCCTACGAAAATTTCTTTGACTTAGGAAGATACCGATTTATTTCTTTAATCTATGATGATAAACACAAATAATCGATATACACACAAAGTGGGGCATTGTAAACTTTAATTACAGACTATTTTTACTACATTCACACATAAAACTAAACAAGACTACACATTCGTAAACGAACCATCATACATACACAGTAAAACATAAGTAACGCCAGATGTTATTGTAACTCGTGTGCCGTGAAAATAGATGTGTGACTACTAACCGTGAACTTGCTTAACTTACAAGTTATTACATACAACGTAACATTTTGATTGACATGTCATTATACACAGCTTAGACTTGACCTTAATATTATCGACATGGTTGGACTGTGAAGCTTGCACGATGTAAAGATAGGGAAGACATTCATATTAATAACTGAAGTATATTTAACATAAGTCTTTAAATTACTTTTTCAACAGCTATAATTAATTATAAGAAATCATGTCTTTATGAATTAAGTCTCCGTATTGCGGTGTAAAACAAAAATGCAACAGGCAAGGCACTCGTCCATACTTATAACATCGATAGTGGCTTTTAATCGATGAATAAAAATCGATAGCCAAGTCAGTCCTAGAGGAAGTGAGGGACGACTAACACAAATATTCGTCGTAACTGTGTCACTTTGTATGCGAATACATTGACCTTATAGCAAGTGTCGCGATTTGGGAGCGCGAGCGTAGCCCGTGACTGTGTGCAGCTGTGCTGCGGTACAAGCGAGCTATTAGCAATGTTGATAATTTGCCGAAACCTCAAATTATTGAATTTTATACTTATACAAATTAAACATGTTTTTGACACCATGGTTTGAAATCAATTAATTGAGGCAGACGTAAATATCATTTGATATAAATATTGTGAATTGTATTAATTCGTTATACAAAATCGATTTTTCCTTACGATATCACAACTTTCCCAAACAGCGTTAAAATAAGGCACAATTATTATGTGACCTGAAGATAATAAAAAGAAATATTTACAAAAAAAAAATCAAATGCTCCATATCCTTGGAAGTTTGTAGTGAAAACAAAAACAGTCAAGCTGCCTGCTACAGAAGCACCATGCATACACGACACGACCTCGTCAGTGTTAGAGACTTGGTTCGAGAGAAAGTCCTCGGGGTCCATTCACAAGGCGCATACAAATATTTGTGGACGCCTACTATACCAAAAACGAGTTTAGACCTTTCTACCTTCAGCCGATGTCGCGATATCGACCTCTATGGGCCGTGAACTGACATTTTTCTTAATGACTTTTATAGAACTATAAAACATTATATCAATTACAACTTGGAATGATCGAAATGATTTATTTTAGTATCCGCAATTGAGATGGAATTTTAAGTTTGTTGACAAATTGTTGTTGCGTACAGTTGTTTAAAACGAATATTTAATTCAACTGTTGTACGGATAAATACAAGTTTGAACTTAATCTTTTACGTTTTAGTTATATTTTATGGAGTGTTTAAACTTATTATTTCTTGCCATGAATATGCACGTCGACTTGTAATCTAAGAGCGTCAGTGCAATAAAAATTATATTGAAGACAATGTTTCAGCCATTTAATATCTCTATACTTTTCTAAGAACTTCCTGAACTTTCTAGCAATGTAGATAAACTTGTAGAGTGCGTCGTGACTTCTCATTTCCAGTTGACACGACAATGTTTATCTAAGATAAGTGACTCTGTAGATTTTGTCAATTTCTAAAATAATTTCTTTTTGTTTTTACAATGTCAAGTCATCATTGAATTTCTTTCTCTGCAGTATAGTATTCTGTTCAGCATGATAGTCAAATGCAAATAATATATACATGTAACAAAAGGCGAATTAATATGTAAATTGAATTGTTCATAAAATAAGATGATTGTGGTAATACATATTGTTAAAATAGTTAACTTACAAGTTCTTAAAGCGCTAGTATTTTTATAACACATAACAAAAAAATGAAAATAAAGACCTTATATTTTTTTTAGAAAAAAGAGAAATCTTATTTAGTTGAAACACCTTTAGCTAATTGTAATACAAATCTTTAAACTATATATGGTCGCCATTAAGTCCTAAAATCTCCAAACGAATTAAGATTGACAAAAGTATAAATGGATATTTTCTCTTTTTATGAAAATCTATCAACTTATTTAATAATACCATGTATGTCGTTTGGAATGTTGTTGCAAAAGTTATGATATGTCCATACGGAACGCCCAAGTTTTCGTTTTTACGTCACGTTATCAATGGCACTTAAAGCGCGTTTACACACATAACCTTAAGTGAAAGTATGGGGCTGGTCTCCTCATACTAATGTTTAAAATACTTAAAGATTCTGACACAATACACTGCTCGCACATTTCTCCAGTGAGACACGGCAAGTCCGTAAATATGCTGAATAAATTAATCATTTGGACCTAACCAACCCCTCTTGGAATGCCACAGATTATAAAATTAAGGAAAAAACTGATTAGAAAAAAGATTAAGAGTAGCTAGCTGTTCGATGATCGTAAATTTAGTATTTCTTTGAATTCCTTTATGAATAAGTGAAAGCTTATATGACTAATGGTTTTGTTTGCAATATGCAAAACATGTTCTGCTGAAATGATTGGTATAAACGTTGCAAAATGATGAATGTTTGGAATAATCAATAGTTAGGCCCATAAATAACACAGAAATCCCCTAATGATAATCTTAAAATCAACCGTAAAATTTATTCGTTCAATAGATTAGGTCATAAGGTCAACCTGAAAATATTTTAAAATGTATAATGTACAATAGAAACTTAATTGTATTAAAATGTTTGATACTAGTGTTGCCTTAATTAATGGATAGCATATGCATATTATATTTTATCATACAAGAAGTAAACCAAAAAAATCAGGAATAACGAGTTTTAAGATAAAGTGTCACATCAAAAGAAAATTTGTTGAATAAAGTAAAATACGTAATGAAGGCATGGTGGCCGACAGGTATAAATATGAGTACGTCTGCGTGTTGGTTGATCTGTGTCCCCGTCGGCTACCATCACTACTTTCCTTCCCTGCGTGTGTGACGTAACTCTATAAAAGAGTGCGCGGTGAAGACGCCGCCGCTATATCGTTTCCGCTCGCCACGCTCGGCCATAGCGTCCCAAACACCGGCAACAGAAGGACGCGGGCGGAACCTCTTCCGCTAGAGCCCACACGGACTCAACAGTGACAGTTCAACAAAAGGTGAAGTGTCAAGGACATAGTGCATGTGATTGTGTTCGTGATAGTGTTGTGATATCGTGATAGCTACAGTGGGCTGGTGGTCGGGTCGGCACTGTCGCGGTCGCGATGCTCCCGGTGATGTAATTAAAGGTTGTGTTTGTTTCAGATACGAGATGAGGTCGTTGTTCTTGTTAGCGGCTTTGTGCTGCCTAGTGTTGTCGGTATGCGGTAGCCCTATCGCCCGACCGGAGGAAGACAAGGAAGTGGGTAGGCAAGCTGCGGCTGCAGCGCCCGCAGCACCCGCGGCGGCTGCTGATGACGACGACGACGATGACGACGACGACGACGATGATGAAGATGTTGACATTGATGATGCATTAACTGGTAAGTCTGATACTTTTGGTTATTACTTCAGAGATATTCATTCAATACTGTTAAGTTAAATAAGGCTTAAGTGCGGTTTGCACTTTTTACTTATTCACTTCTTTGTGATTGCCACTTTAAAATACAAACCCTAAGAACATATAAGTTATTTAATTAAAAAGATCTCAAACGGTTAGTTTACATAGTGATATTTACGAAGCCATTATTTGTATAAAACATTCCAATAGATTTTAATTACCAAAGTACAGTAAGGTTGTTAAAGATTCCATATTGCAAAAATATCGATACCTGTTTCGTTTACCGTTGAAGTGAACAGGAGTTCTAACGGTAGATACGATAAATATATCTCGTGTAGCATACGCTGTCAGCGATAATGCTGCATTAGTAAAAGCACTCGAGCTTAGACTCTTAATCATTGATAGAGAATTTATTGCGTTTTACAAAACACCTGCATAATTACTCTGCAAATAGCATGGTAATGGCTCGTTAAATGATTCAGGCATAGCTGAACACTTTGCAGATCAATTTGCAATTATAATTTACGACTTAATGCACTTGCTTTTTCTATACATAGCTACAATATCGAGATTCAATCTAATTTAACTATCTTGGTTAATTTTTAATATCCTAACAACACACTGCAATTACTGATCAGTTCAAACAATTAGGAAAACAAGAAAAGCTTAGAAAATATATGGATCATAATCGATAATTCAGAACTACGGTAAAAGTGGTACAATATATCGATAAAAATTCCTTAGAATCAGGACGCGGCGGGCCAACGTGGAATGTGAATCGAGCAGCGTGACAGGCGCTCTCAATCGTTAATTAATTCAAACAGAAAAGACTCAATCAGAGAAATTGACGCTCCCCTGCTTTCTCGATACGAAAGCCTCGCTCAGGACGTCACGCACCGCGAGACGTCGGCGCGCGGCTTTAACTGTTTGTTTAACAGTTCATTTGTGCTTCAATATCGATAATAGTGTTAACCATACGTGTGTATTGAAACGGAAAAAATAAGTGATATGTGCCAATAACTAGATAGGTGCACAGGTTTAGACAATGTCATTGCTCCAGTTTCAAACGTTTGTTGAAGTAGTGTGTTTATTTGATATGGTTTTTCTCAGGTGACGACGATGACGACGACGATGATGATGATGACGACGATGATGATGAGGAAGCCGATGATGACGACGATGATGACTACCTCGAGAGGTTCTTCGATGACATCTTAGGAGGAGGTAAGGACTCGCAACGTTTGCATTATATCGTTTTATTTGCTAGTTGTTAGAAGTATTTATGAACAAAAAATTTAATCTCACAGAAGAAGACGATGATGATGATGAGCCCGCGGCAGTCCAACCCGTGGTAGCGCCCGCTGACACCGTTGCTGCTGCGCCTGCTGCACCTGTCGCTGCTGCGTCCTCTGAGGATGTCGCCGCCGTCGCTGAAGAAGCTGCTGAGGGAGAAGCAGAAGCTGTTGAAGGCGAAGAAGGAGCAATTGTAGCACAAAAAGAGCCCGCAAGTGCTGAGGTCGAAGCTCCTGCTGAAGCCGCTGAAGCCGTTGCTGAAGCTGAGAACGAAAATGAGGAGGACGATGATGACGATGATGATATTGGCATTGATGCCGTCGGAGATGACGACGACGACGACGATGAAGATGATGACGAGGCCGAGGATGACGACGATGACGACGACGACGACATCACCGACGCGCTCGGCAGGAACATCTCCGCTAAGAACGCACGTGAGTCCAAAAAGCTGAAGGCGAGCGTCGCGGCGTATGCGAAAAAGGCCGGAAAAAAAGCCAACCATCTGGGTAAAGTAAAGAAAACCAAAGCGACATCCGCCGCGGCAGTCGCCCCTGAACACAAAAAGTTCAGATAGTGAGTAGGCGGCGAGATCCCGGGCGAGCCACGCCCTCTCATCCACCTGACGAGACCTCCACGGTCCTCTCCTTTAGCTTAGCTATTTATTGACTATTTATTTATGCTATTTATTTTATTTATTAAGTGAGTGTGTTTGATGTGTGAAAGTGTAAGTATGGTACCGAGAAAGTTAAAGTTAAATTAATGTCTAGATCATGTCACACTGGTCTCGTGGCAAATTATTTGAAATAAATCTGTTGTTCTAATTTATGTGTGAAATTCTTTATAATACCTTTGCGACAATTTGTGCGTCATAATTGTACACAATACATTAAATGTTGTACATTATAAAGTTTTGTCGTACATCGGTCAGAAAACTAGTTGCCTGCTCTATCTCGGTGTCAACTACTCGAGTGACATTATCTAGTAATATTAATTTAATTTTGATTGTTGTAATAAAAATGTATACTAGTCAGCTTCAACTATTTATGCTCCTCTTACCCCGATCCATAACTGTAACATTATGCTGTAGACTTGTTCTTATATTATGCATATATTTAAATACTCTATCTCCCATATTATTTCCATAGTACATTTACGTAGCAGTATTGTATGTAGAAATTAAAATATAGATATAAATAACTAGCCTTTTGACCGATTTATGTATGTATTATAACGCACAAAAATCCTCTATCCCTATGATCCGTTCCTTAAATCCTTATCTGTAACATAATTATTGTAAGTATGTGTATCTCCATCGAGATAGGTACCAGGGTTGTATCTTTGATAGAAATCTTGAGATCCGTGAATGTGTCGGGTGCGCGGCCGCAGCGAGTCGTCGCTCGACAAGGAACTAGTTCGGTATATGTGTGTTAGGAGGCCGGCCGACGCGGCGTCCACCGGCCGCTTACTTTCTCAACCGGAGCTCGAGCGATGAACCCGCCCGATTTCTTCTACAACCTTGACACTTTCTTTGACCTTGCTCCGGCCGCGCCCAGGAGTGACCTTGACGAAAATTTAAGTAATATTCAAAAATAGCCGATAGAAAGTAATTCGGAATAAATGTTTACTCTCACTTAATTTCGAAATCCGCCGCAAAATTTGCGTGTCGAACGTCCGGTACAGTGAAAACAAGATAATGAGATGCGAAAAGAGAAATTTTTAAATATTTGTCGTCGTGAAATGCTGGGAGTGTCGCGAGGAGTCATATGTGACCTGAATGAAACTCGTTTAGTGTGGACCATATGGGCACCTGTAGAGACTGCCGACCCGGAATACGTCACCTTCCCACTATATGTACAAATTCGATATAATCAAACTGTAAAAGAAATACTTTTACAAGAGTTTAAAGTTGTTTAGGGTGCCTATAGCGATGTAAATAGAGTTTGCGCAATTACTCACTCCCCATCGTTGTTATTTCAAGATCACTCATTTTTGCCTTATATTATAAAAGATAGGTAAATAATAGAATTCAGTGTACCCTAAAGTGTTTCTGTAGTGGCCCCGCGTCGTATCAATGTATGCCGTAATTAGATTTCTTCGAATGTGCGTGGTACGGCACGCAGTTTCTTTTACGTGTGGAAAATAGAAAATCCACCGTTGACTGGGCGTATTAATTGTGAACGACGATTAGAATTCAAGTGGGGCTCCGAGAGACCGATACAGTTAGCTTGCGTGCCAGCATAACGTGGCTAGAATCAGGTGTAGGATTCAGTTGAATAATTATTGAGCGTACGTTAGTTATACTTGCACGCAGACAAACAATTTAGGTCTGCACCATTAAAGCGACATGAACGTGACTTTTGAAAGAGAAACTATACCTTTTCAATGTGTATAATCTAGTTAGATAACCAAATAGAACCTCAAAGATAGAAGGAAAAGTAATGAATAAATATACACATTAATGGTCCTAGCCCGGATCGCTGAGATCTGAGTTTTATATCCAAATCTAGCTAGAAAAAACAAACGAGATTGTAATTAAGCTTATCCTTATTAAGCTTTACCTAGAGCCAAGGCAATAATTAAATTTCCACTCACCTTTCTCCATAATAACCGAAAATCTTTTAACAATATTTGTCACTACGTGATGTAGTCTTCAAGAAACAAAGCCCATAGTATACAAAAAAAAAACAAATGCCTTGGCTCTAGGTATCGTACATTTGATGCGTAACTATAACTATATAGCAAACTAACGGTAAAAAAATATCGAAATCTGATTTCGCTAGTTGGATTATCGATTTATGATTACGATTTATCGTAACCACGATTTTACGCCGGGCATCTAAAAAGTATTTGCAATTACGTTTAAAGGGTAATTACATACTAGTTAAAATTCAGTATTAACAGCATTCATTTTTCAAATTACTATAGCAAGAACAAAAATCTCATCTTTCAGAAAAGCAAACCCAAAGAACGTCTCCTAGTTGGATCGTTCATCAACTTCTATCATATTACATTATACAATTACACATCCAACTGTCCATATTAATCAATGTCGTTAACAATTTAAGTCACCGAGCCGATTCATCAATCAAATTAGTATCATACTGCAATTAAACGAGGCTAAAGTAATTAATAGTAGGTAATTATTATCAAATCCTACATGAAAACACAGTTTTAGTGAACCGTGCATTAGCTTGTGGCAATACAGTTGTTAAATATTACAGTTGCTTTTAATTAGGCACTGAATTATTGGAGTATGACAAATGAGATTCGAAAAAAAAGGTTTTACTTTTGCTAATAAATGAATGTGGATTCTTTGCTAGTGTAGAAAATGATTAATAGGAAATCAAGCTGCGGTTTTTGCAACACTTTATTTCAAACTCGTTTTATTAAAGACTAAACAATGCTGCATATAACTAGGTCTGTAATTTATTTTGTAGCCCACTATTCATACATGCCCGTTAAATTTTATGACGAGTCTATTATCAATAAAAAAATAAGTTCAAAGTGACACATACGCAAGAATAGGTAGGCAACAAATTCGGATCAGGGTCGTAAGATTCGTAGCATATAATATAAAAAATATATTTGTGAAGTAAGAAACAATAGAACCTTTTCGCTTTTGTCTTTACCGCCAATAAATTTAACAGGCGCTCTCAGTGATGAGACCACAAAGAAGCCGACAACCGTCCCCGCTATCTACATCGTCAAGTACAACAGATTCGTAGACAACATCTTGGAGAAAATGAACGACATTTTGAGGACGTCGTACGACCCCGTCAGTGTTAAGCTGCAGCCAATCGACGCCAATAAGAAGACTTCCAAGCCAAAGAAGGGTAACAAGACCAAACCAAAAAGGTAAGAAATTTTATTTAACCTCGTCCGAAAGGGAGAAAGTTTAAAATATGAAACTTGGTGACTAATAATTTAGACAGTATATAACGGCGTTTTGTTGAAACGACATATTGACTGACGCAACGAAGTAATCCGGATACATATGACATTACGTAACTTATTTTCACTTTTAGGAAAAGCTCAAATAAGAAGAAGAATACAGCACGCGGCAGCGAAGCAAATAAAACCAAAGAGAAAACAGTATCTGAGATCCCGGAGACAGTTAAGGAAGAGATTACTCAAGTTAATGATGTGAAGCCTAACGAAGTGGTTGGAGAACAAACTCCTGTTGCTGAATCTAGAGCAATGAAAGAAAAGACTTCAGAGAAAGCAAAGGCTACACCGACTAGGAAACCTGCAGCTAAACCACCAGTTAAGGCCCCTACCAAGGCAACGAAACCAAAACCGAAGCCAACGAAGACCACAACAAAGAAACCAGCAACCAACAAAACCAAGAACAAGACTAAGACTTCAGAGAAGAGCAAGCCGAGGGCTAAGGGAACGCTGTATGGTTTATCATCTCTGAGGAGGACTGGAGACGTATCTGTAAGCATCATGGCCGATCACACGACTGTCAAGAGCAACTTTGCTGTCGGACCACTCATACTCAGAGTGGAGAAAGAGGTAACAGATCTTATCATGAACATTGACACATTTTCTTAAATAATTGAAAACATTTTACTTGCATTTGGAATGGATTCAGAAGATTAATAAAATTTATTTATGTAGGTTGGTCGTGGAGCAAAGAAAGACATCAGATCAGCAACAGCAACTACAGCTGAGATGCTGGGAAAACTGACTCTGAGAGTAAACAACCAAGGTGTCGCCACACTCCATACAATCAAGGTTCTGCAGCCTAAACAGGTAATTATAGATCGAGATTTTTTGGATAAAAAAAGAAACTTTATTCTTTCAACAAGCAGAAGTCAAGGTATAGCAATAGAACGGTTAATATTTACCGAGTGAAAATAAAATCCCGTAACGTTTAGTTCGATATCGTGTTAAAGTTGTTCGTGACTAGTGTACTATGCATATCGACAGGTTCCGACAGAAAGCATGACAGCAAAATGATTGATTGTCTATTTTGATTATTTACAACAATCAGTTACATTTAGATGCAAGTTTATTGCCTTTTGCATTCAAGCACTTGCGTGGTCATTATGTAAACGAACCTTAAATTAATCATAGCTCATGTATGTAAAAGAAATGTATATGAAATGTAATGTATCATGTAAATGATCCTTTATTTCAACTGTAGTTGTAACTCTTTAAAATCGATCGTGTTATTAAGGAAATGGAATATTTTTTATTTGCCATTAGCTTGCCAGGGAATGAGCAATGCCAATTATAATTTTTAGATGCTTGCAACTGCAAGATGTCGCGTTTCTTAACAAATTTCTGTTTCTAGGTTCGAGTGGACAGCAACAATGAACGTACTCGAGAACTTGTCTGGCAACGCAGCGCAAGAATAGCACACGTTGTCTCTGAGAAACTTCTCTCCGCATCCAAACCAATGTTCCACCAACAAACCGTCGTCAAGCAATGAATTTTAGGCCTTATTACAACGCAGTTATAGAGCGCATTTTAGCTTTATAGCAAGGGTTAGGGTGATGGGAAGTTTTTCTAAGATATTGCATTTAAGTAGCCGACTCGTCAGACGCGTAGCGTTAAGAAAAAACTACCATACAGATTTTTAAACTTTATTACATGAGAAATAAGGTTCAACATTTCAGTCGCAATAAATACGCCTTTGAATTGTCGGTTCGTTTAATTGACTGATTGATAGTAATATTTTTAAATTTATTTTTCAAAGTATATTATATATAGAGTATGTTCTCAGTCGCAAGGCTTATGATACTCATTATGTTTAGTAAATAGTCAGACAATGCATTTACTATGTTGTAACGTTATGGTGCTAAGATTTTAAATAGATAATTTTATACGCTGTACATTATTTATTTTTTAATAAATACTTTTTACATATATTTATTTTAGTTATTTTCTCAGCTCCGCAAAAATTAGAATAACCCTCGAATATAGAAAAAACTTTTATAAGGCCTTAGGTACATCATACTCATACCTATTCTAAATTTGAAAGTTTCTCACAAACTTTCAAATTTAGAATATTGCTTTACCGATTTAGTTTGCTATGTGGATAGGTCATACCCTGGATTAACACATAATTATGCTGCTTTTTATCAACATACAAAGCGGCCGAAGCAGCGGGCTGAAGCTAGAAAAGATATAATGCGGTAGTAACTAGTCAAATTCATGTCATGTCAAAAACGATAATTTTCTATGAAACTTTAAAGTAGTAATTTTGAGTCAAATAGTTTACTTATTTCGGATCGATTAATAAAAAGTATAGTTAATTTTCAATATTGTATTGTGTTGAAACGTCGAATTAATTTATTTTTGACCTAGGAAACTTTCGCATAAGGCACAAATCAGGTTAGATTCTATGCTCTTCAACCCATTAATAAACTGAATCTACCTTAAAACTTCAAGAGTCTGTAACTAAATTAATCTTTTACACCTTCGATAATTATTGTGTGGGAAAGCCATGCTTCTGCACGAATGGGTCGGCTGGACTCGACTGGGGTGATACCTGGCCTCACAGAATCCTGGCATGCAATGACCACAGCGTTGACACGAAGCATACGTCACCATGTGAGTGAGGTTACTGGAGGCCTAATCTTTCCCACACCCTTATACCTTCACGATGTGCGGGTCTGCGGACGGCGAGTAAGGACAACTCGCCGCCCGACCAGATCCAGACCCGAGCGTACGGCGCGTAGCGTTCCGCGCGCGCCTCAAAGAGCCAATAGACCACCACAGACAGGGCCCTATAGGGGTGATGTTCAGCGGGGGTTGCGGGGTAAGCGCAATGAGGCACCGCGACCTCGGCCCAGAGCAGGAGAAGGAACAGGGGGGTTTTTAGTCAGTAAGAGTCTGACACTCCCTCCCGCCCGGCCCTGAGCGGGAGAAGTCATTTGATGATTTACCCCTCACAAAAAACCCTGATACCTCACCATTTTTGAACAAACAAAAATGATTCAAGTGTGGGAGAGCCATGCTTCGGCACGAATGGGTCGGCTCGACCGGAGTGATACCACGGCCTCACAGATAACCGGCGTGAAATAACCACTGCGTTGTGTTACGCCGTGTGAGTGAGGTTACCGGAGGCCCAATCTTTCCCCTTCCCCAATCCCTCCTCAATCCCTAAATCTCCAAATCCCTAATCCCTAAAAGGTCGGCAACGCACTCGTAACTCCTCCGTTGCGAGTGTCCATGGGCGGCGCTGATTGCTTACCATCAGGTAATACGTCTGCTCGTTTGTCGAGCTATTACATAAAAAAAATATGTCACTGTTAAGTGCTATATATATGCTATGTATGATTAAAAATTTGGTACGATATGTTTTGTATGTTTATTAGTTTTATTATAATTGTAATCCTTCCTTCCTTCTTTATCCTTTAGACTGCACGGTTGGTGCGGTGGCTGGGCAAGTGGCTGCTATGCAACGTGTCGCGGGTTCGATTCCCGCACGGAACAACTCTTTGTGTGATCCACAAATTGTTGTGTCATGTGATGTGTAATTGTATGTTTGTTACCGCACCCGCCCCACACTGTGAAGCAAAGTTTAAAAAAAGTAAAAAAAAACAGTAGATATACCTGTAGTTCCTTCAGAAAAAAATATATTACGTATTAAAAGTGATGCAGTTTTTGCACTAAGATTGGTGTTTAAAAGGCCAAAATTCTATTAACGACATTAAACAAAAAAAAAACAAGACATAATTGTAAATTTGTATATATTTAAATAGCGTACAGATTGTTCAATACATTTTCACTGGTAAACTACTGGGAACACATAAATAAGTATACATTTACAATACGGTACATAATATATTCGTAGTTTTAAATACATTTTGGAGATTTCAATAAAAAGTATACGTATAAAATATTAGAATAGACTCACTCATCTTTGGTACTATTTACTTTCATATCATGCCTTCGAGATGTCATGGGTCTCATAAAAAAACAATTCAACATAAAAAATGCTATAAATTATAAAAAACATATAAGTACTCACATTTAAACTACAAATATATAAATAGTCACCCATTTTATACCATCTCAAACTGCTATAAGAAAAATTACCAAACTATCTACATATTACAGTACAAAACACTTCATGTGTATAACTAAGATAAACACTGCATTATTATTTATTGAAATAATAAATGTACATTAAGTAGAAAGGTAATTCTCACTGTTCGGGTAAACACATTGATTTTCTATTAGAGGTAACTTGACAGGCAAGAATTTGCAAATATAATTTCTAAGTTTTTGTTATTATTATTTTTTTTGTTCTTTCCCTTTCCTTTCACGGGATCACAGGATCCTGGGGCCTTTGGAAGGTGTACGAGGGGCAGAAGCCAACTCGCCAATGCCCGTTGAACAGTTTTAATCTAAATGTGATAGGACATCAGCCGGCAATTATCTCTGTATGCACTATAAAAGTGCACCCAAGAACAATCCCCTTTCGATGCAGGACTATTGTGCAATATAGTTGAAAATGATATGGTTATGGGCGTGGGTCGCTATGGACTGGTCATCACTGGCCAATATTGACACATACGGATAAACAGGCATGGGGTGACTGGATAAATTGTGTGGACTATGTATACTACATATATGAAAAGGACTGCGGCTTATTAGGCTTATTATAAGGCTTTCTCATCTTGGATATATTCTTACTTTATTGCTATGGAATCTAATTATATTTTATGTTACGTAAAATATACTTGACAATACATATAAACTGGATGAAACTGCACAATAATCATCACACTAAACTTCAATAATTCGTATTAAATTTATATCCATTTAATGTTTTAATTTATTGATTATAAAAGTTAAAGAAAAATATTACTTGGGCTATTTGTTTTTGGTTACCTCTAAGGTTCAAAATATTTAACGGGAAATCAAACATTCTTATGTTATAATAATTCTAAGTACACTGTTCGATAATATAACATCTATCATTTGATTTCGAGACATTTGACAAACGCAAAAGTACAGCGTCGAACGCCAGTAACGCAAATGTATTATTAAATTGATTTTATTCTACTTAATAAATCTAATTTATTCATTATTCTGTACAAGATCGACAATAGTCAATAAATTATTTAGGAAAATAGTTATTATAGTTAAAATTGCTGTACCACGGCTTAGAGTTAAGAAAGGAGAGGTAATAATTTGAGATTTTCGGATGCAATGAGGAGTAACGCATATCCCATCGCTGTTAGCGGCGATAGTTAGCTCTCAGAACTAATTCATTGGTCCATTATTTTTGACATTGATTCAGCAATTCCAACTGTATTAGCACCGGTAAACTATTTTGTAGTAGATACTACCATAATTAATTTATTGAAATATCGTCTTACTCAAGAAAAGCGTGGTACAACGATGTCAGTCAAATTAAGATGATATGAGAGATGAAAATTTAATTCAATTATGTTTTATCGAATTTTTAAGTGAAGGTGCAGATCAGACTTTTTTAAATACATTATATTTATTAAAGGAATGTTGGAAGAGGGGTGTATCGTAATGGAAGTCACGAATGTGTTTAAATAGTAACAATGTTATGATGAAAGGCCATTATACATTTTATATTAAGTTTAAAATAGCACTCATGCATTATAAGAAGCTCACTCTTCGATTAGTCTAACAAGTTACGTATTAAATTCTTTTTCAAATTATACTTCAAAGTTAGAACAAATCCCTATGTGAGCTTAGTTTCTAGAGAAATAATTAAATTATACTGACAGGGTCAACAGACACAATGGGACGGCTTTAGGACCAAAATATAGAAGAAAAGGTCTTCACCGATAAAACTGCCGTTTTGCCGTTAAAATGCCGTTATAAACGCCACTTCAAAGGTAAGATTTCGAACAGTACAATAAAAATAAGTATGGTTCTCCAAGCACTTTAGTTAGAACTTTCAACACTAACCGAAGTATAATTAAGTACTTTACTCACATTAAAATACTTTAGGAACTATCTACACGAAGGACACTGTCGAACTTGTACGTTATCTACAAAAATACCTAATAGCTGTTATTTTAATGGTTTTAGATGAGCACTGGGAATACTAATTACTTCACTGTTAAATTCTCAGAGCACAGATTTGTGTCACTGCTACGGTGTTTTCTTGAATATCACCATAAATATCAAAATATTCAATTACAATTTTTATAAGACCTGCTTTTGATTCGAAACTATTCAAGCCAAACCGAAACTCAAACACACATAAGAATTTATTTGTAATTAGTGTATTGACTATAAGAAAAACAAGTATATCCTCATCCAAAAACATTAAAAGCCAGCTACACTTTACTACTTAAATTAAAACTAACAAAAATTAATACCGTCACGTGTCATTGCCCCCGTTTGCATGAGATAGTGCTGTCCCGTTCTTGCACAATAGTGGCGTACTATTCTGATCATCAACGATGACAACTTCTGTGACGTCATCGTCTGATTGTTTTAGCGAATCGTAATTTGGAGGCGGTGTGTGTTCTTTGCTGGTTAACTGGAGTGGTATTTGGCCTGTGAGACCTGTGGATAAAGGAGGGCATTGTTCATACAACGAATTTATTAATACTCTATAGTCTATTTTTTTTTACTTGCAATAAACTAGTGCTTGACTGCGATCCCACCTGATGGTAAGCAGTGATGCAATCGTTGATGGTAAGGCGCACTAGTCTATCTAAATGTCTTAAAATAATTTAATGGAACGAGACAATAATAGCTTCACCAAAAAATTGACGGAGAGTCCGTTATTATTATATTAAAATCTTTGTTCGACATTCAAAAATTCCTTTCCTTCCTTTAGTGGTCTATACTATATTTGACTTTGAATATATTTTCTTAAAGAAACAAAATTATACGATACATGAACATGAATTCAAGCTCCAAATATAAAATTATACGTATTAAAAAACACATGGGAAGCTACATACTGTGCAAAGTAGAGTCCAATTCGGCATGTGTTAGTACAACTACTACGTTAGAACCGGCCCCGCTGAAGACTGAAGCGACGCATGCGCGGGGAGACAAAAGTACCAGTGGTTGCCCACGCGCAGCTAACGAACTCGATAGTGCGCATATACCCTTCGCTGCTGTAAAGTCTGCGCCTGGAAGTGATGAGGAATTTTAAGTTAGGTGTTTTAAGGTTCAGTTTTGAGTGTCTGACTTTTAAGAAAAAGCTTATTAGATTTGACTTATGCTGTTTAAATGTCCATAAATGTACTATGGTTATAAGCCTTGTATACCTACCACCTATAAAGCTCTTTGTGGTATGCAAATAAATTATATGATATGATAGGATTTTCGAACCCGCGATATGTTGCACAGCAGCCAGCTGGCTGTAGTCCCCCTCCCCTTCCCCTATCCCTTCCCGATCCTTATATCCGCAACCCCTATCTCCAAAAGGCCGGCAACGCAATCGTAACTCCTTTGGTGTTACGGTTGTACGTCGGCGGCGCCGATTGCTTACCATCAGGTAATACGTCTGCTCGTTTGCCGACTTATACGATAAAAAAATGCAAATAAGTATACATAAAAGACACAAAAATAAAATAGTTTTAGTGGTGTTACTAACAAACGCAAACTTTTGCACATAGCCATATTAAATCGGTCTATTAGAGGTTTTCTGAACCTTCAGTCAAATACACTATTTTTTGTAATGGGAAAATCATCAAATGACTTCTCTCGCCCAGGGTAAGGCGAGTGTGTCAGACTCCCACTGACTAACCTTCCCCCTCCCCCGTTCCTTCTCCTGCTCGGGGCCGAGGCCACGGTGCCACATTGCGCTTATCCCGCAACTATGGCTGAACATCAGCCCTATAGGGCCCCATCTGTGGTGGCCTATTGGCTCTTAGAGGCGCGCGCGGAACGCTACGCGCCGTACGCTCGGGCCTGGTTCTGGTCGGGCGGCGAGCTACCCTTACTCGCCGTCCGCAGGCCGGAGATCGTCTCTGAAATACACTTACCTAATACATATCGGCAATCAATAACGACGGGCATGCTACACCCGCCCTGCTTCTTAGCGGCTCTCTCAACGTACTGTCTGATGTACTCCACTCCAGGGAAGTATAAACTGTTGCCTACAGTTACTAAAACGTAACTGAAGCCTGATGCGTTCTGGAATTAAAAAGCTAAACGTTAGAGTACTGGAAAGAAAACCTAAATTGTAATAACGTAAGGTCGATTTTTATATGTAGCAACTTGGCTTCTTTTTCTATCTTCCTATTGGCTAGGATTTTTACAACTTAGACATGATGTTCGATTCAAAAACGCTAAAATTGTAGGTAGAAGGTAAGACGGCTCGTTTCCCATGCAGAAGGTTCAAAATTTAAAATACATTGCTACATATAAATATCATTGTACATATAACTATCATGAAGAAACCTGGACTAATGAATTCTGAGTTTAAAATTGCCAAACCAAAACTACTCCATATGAGAAGACATCTTTACTCATTAGTGGACACTTATAGGCTTTTGTTGATGATATGCATCCTAGAAACTTACCAAATTAAAGTATGTGGTTTTAATTTTAGTAGTGTAAATTTAGTTTAAGTCTAACATTTCAGTATCTCTCTGCTGGTTTATTTTTAAACACTGAAAGCCCGGTTTCCGAAAGCCCGATCAATGTTAAAATCAACTAACTAGGTCAAGCTCAAGACATCTGATTGGTTGTTGATAATTCAGTCAACCAATCAGATGACTTGACAAGAGATTAAATTGATTTTAATATTGATCGGCCTTTCGGAAACCGGGTGATAGTATCTTATATCTCTTACATTTTACCTTACGAAGGACTGCAGAAAGAGATTCCAAATATGAATATGCAGTACCTATGTACTTCTTTTTCTAGGTATATTTATTTTTTTTATTTACTGTATGTGTGATGTGCATCATTGTCATACTATAAATGCGAAAGTTACGATGTTTGGATGTTTGTAACTCAATCGAGCCAAAACAGCTGGACGGATCTAAATGAAATTTGGCACAGGCATAGGGTACACTCCGGAATTGGACATAGGCTAGTTCATATGAACATACAACGTGGGCGAAGCCACGGGCGGAAGTTAGTAAATAATAAATTACTTGCCGTGACAATCTCAGCTTCAAGCTGTGGTCTCGCACTGGGGTACAGCAGTAGTATCACATTGACGGCCACTCCAGCCAAGATGCCGAGTTCCACGCCCACAGACAGACAGAGCGCAAACGTCGCAAACGCTGGCAGTAAGTCCGCGCGACGAGACCGCCACATTGGTTTTACAACCTGCAATATTATTCGTAAGTTCTTAAATAAATATAATATTTGAATAGTAAATGTGCAATGGTCGTGGTGGCCCAGAGGTTAAGAAGCCCGCTTTTCATGCATGAGGGCGCGGCTTCGAAACCTGGCAAGTACCAATGTGACTTTTTCCGAGTTATATGTACTTTCTATGATTATTAAGATGCCACTGACATACGGCGAATGTAAACATCGTGAGGAAACCTGGACTTATAATTTCTAATTATAAGTTTGAAATCGCCAACCCGCATTGAGCAAGCGTGGTGATTAATGCTCTAAACCTTCTCCGTGTGAGAAGAGGCCAGCTCAGCAGAGGGCACTTCTGGGCTGATGATGATGAAATGTGCATACGGTTTTAAGTGTTTAGCACTTTATCTTCGACAGTTCATGTTTATTTTAGAACTAGAGTATTCTCTGTTAGTTCACGGTCGATATTTTCAATCATAAAATTACTTTCAATGTGAGTCTCAATATACAATTGTTATTTATCTGTTTGAATTCATACAGATTTGCGTTTACAAAGAAATTCTCTTGTGTCTCGTAAGCTGTTATTAGGGATTGGTATGAATTATTAGTTTTTAAAAATAAAAAAAACACATTAGCCTCAAAATGGCATGGACACTGTGAAATAAAGTTTTTCTCACCTCATATTCTATCATAAATATCACAGCACATATCACAACGGATGCCAGCGCCGCCTTCGGGATAAAGTAGAAGTAGGGAGTCAGTAGACTAAGCGCCAGTAACACCAAAACACCTGGGAATTAGAAAATAATAATATAATATAGAATACACACGCGTACGATAAAGGTAATAACATAACCTTATCGCCAATGAAAAGCGATTGTTAGTGTAAGGACCGTGTGAGACTTTGCCGCGCTTTTCGACTACCAGTTATCTGCGTTCTGACAATTTGAGTACTTGCGCGACCCACCCAAATGTTCTTTTGATCGGTATTGTTCGTCGGACAACTCAGCAGCACTAGCTATTCTGGTTGCAAACTGACACTTGCGTGCCTGTCTTCAGAACGGGTCCACTTAAACTGATGTGGTTCTTTCCTCAAAAGACCACTACAGAATGAACTTGCACGGTTCTTTCACATTATATTATTTTTACATTGTCTGGACTTGAAAAGAGACTGACCTCTGAGTTTGTTTCGGCATTGCTTCTCAGAATAGTCAGATAGATAATGCCAGTTTCATCTAGTTTTTTACATATAATTTGACGTGTAAAAGTGCCGTTTTATGGCCTATTTGCACATCGAAAAGATAAGATTGAAAATCTATTGAATGAGTTTAGGTTAGCTTGATATGCGTCTGTACGTGTGCCGAATATGTTAAAGTAGTCATTTGAAAGTGTTCAATATGACGTGACTTGAGTTAATCATGTTATTGTTTTAAGATTAGCGGTTCTGTATATACTGTTTATCATACTAACATTGTGATTAAATAGGTTAGTAGGTTTTGTTCAAAGAACGATGAAAAACATTGGATATACATTTGCCATAGCAATAGTAAAGGTATAATAATGTATTATTTGAGGAGAGAGGCCTTATCCATCTCTTAAGTGAGAAAGAGCCATGTCAGAGTGATACCACAGCCTCAAAGAAAACCGGCGTGAAGCAACACTTACGTTGTGTTTCGCCGTGTGTGTGTGATTACCGGAAGCCCAATCCTCCCCCCATCTTCAATCCAAGTTCCAAATAACCAATTCGAATCCAATTCCCTAATAACCCACAAGAGGTCGGCAACGCACTTGTAACTCCTTTGGTATTACGAATGTTCATGGATGGCACTGATTGCTTACCACCAGGTAATCCGTCCGCTCGTTTGCCGAACTATCACATAAAAAATCCTGATGATGAATAATTAACTCGACAAACCCCGAGCGAACGCCGAAGTTCGACCTATTGTTCTTTTATTGTGTGTCTACGAGTTACCACGATGGAAAGGGTAAAATAATTTACCTGTATAAATGCTACCGAACTGCGTGGCGACTCCGCTGGCATGGTTCACAGCACTTCGAGAGAATGATCCAGTGATCGGCATGGCGCCGGCGAATGAACCGAAAATGTTCGCTAGTGAGAGCGTTATCAGTTCCTGTGTCGCATCCACTGATTCGCCACTCGCTGAAACAGTAAAACATATACTTGTAATTACTGAGAAAAAATAAATATCGAAAAATTGAGCTTCGTTCTTATTTTAAAATATGTGTAAGTAAAATGCTGCGCGTCTAATGGCGTATTCAGCTTTTAGTGACGTGGTCAAAGCACTAATTCATTATTGATTAAAGTTGATATTACGTGGTTTAAGGGATCCCCTTTACATGCATCAAGGTGCGGGTTTGAAACTTGGTAGGAACCAATGTGACATCTATACTAATATTAAGAGGTAAAATTTGGCAAAGTTTGTATGTAGGGGGTAATCTTTGGAACCGCTGGTCAGATTGCCAAAATTCTTTCACTGGTAGATAGCTAATATGTTCCTGAGTGCTTATAGGCTATAAAACATTACGTTACGATAAAATGGAGCGGAGTAGCAGGTGAAACCGCGCGAGAGTAGCTAGTTTTTCATGTTTAAGTTTATTTAGATACAACTGACAAGTTAAGGCAAACATGTTAAAGAAATCAGGACTTATTACTTCTAATTATTCACTAGAAATCAGGACTCTAGTCAATCAGTTTGAAATCTGTAATCGTAAGGTTTTTTGGAGTGGGGAAGTCATTTATGACATTGCACACGGTTGGGCATTTCAAAACCAGAGTTCCTTATCCTGCCCGCGGATCCACGGTACGATATTCCTCTGGAACCCGCAACCTCAGACAGCCGGTTATAGAAATTTGTCTACCATAAAATGAGTTGCGTTTTTCGTGCAATATATAGCCATATAGCCATATACTACGAGGGAAATAAAAAGACACAAACGATTGGCACCAGGAATGCAGATAACGATCTCTACCTACTGGTAAATAATCGTATATGTACATTTAATATTTTGTACGCTACAGTTTTCTGTGCCATTCTATACGCTCGATGTAACTTATTATTATTATCAACCAAAGAAAAAAAAAACAAAACAATATTATATAAAAATAAATTCACTAGTTGACGTTATATTTTTTTATACATTTTCCATCGCTAGTTGGCAAAGATTAATTTTAACAGTTTAAACTTTAAGAAAATGTCAAGGCTTACATTTTATAATAAAACACAATCCCTTACCTAGAAACTACGAAAGAGGTTTAATAACATAGACACCAGTTTATAGCAATGTTACGAAAAACAATTAAATTTTATATTTATTGAAATTGTTTTATTGCTATTTTCATTGCAGATTATTATTGTTATTGTAATCAATCCGAGGTCAAGCTTATTTTATTGTCATAAAATTTTATTATTTACAAAAGTTAATTACAAGATCTAAAGTAGGAATTTAGTTAATCGTTTGGAATACCAATATTGTACAGTCTACCGTTTGATGAAGCGCTTGGTTCATTCTCGATAAACTTATATGGCACGTAGTTTATAAAAACAACGGCGTTCTATTTTCAAAATTTTTAGGTACACAAGATCTAACACATAACAAAAACAGGGCTTGATTTTTGCGCTTATGAAGTAGGTACTGAAAATAGCACTACTGACAAACGCACCTGTCAATGTCATAATTTATGAGCATGTCGACGCAATTGAACAACATGCCGATAGTTGATGACGATGATGTTTTACTTTGAGGTGCGCAATCATCAAATAGCTTCTCGCTTTGAGGGTAAAGCGAGAGGGCGCGCGGCCTCGACCTGGAGCAGGAGACAGAAAGAGGTTTTTAGTCAGTACCTAAGAGTCTGACACTACCTCCCGCCCGACTCTGGGCCAGAGAAGTAACTCGATGATTTTCCCCTCACAAAAAAAACATATATTACGGGATTCCGTTAATTATTCGGCAAATGCAGAAAAATTAACAAAGATGAATCACGTTTCATTCAATAGTATTTGGGTACAAAAGCTAATAATAATTTACAAGATTTTTAAAGCGATTTAGATTTTAATTTGAAGTGATCCTTTATGTGCTGAGCTGTATTTTTTATTAAAATATTTGTTTCATTTTAGTAACGTTTGTAATTAAATTCAAATAATTATCGAAAAAGGAATTGGAAGCGACGTAAATTCTTATGGATTTTTTTTTATATAATGACAACCCTATTTATGTGGGTTTGATTTATTTTGCAGACATTTAGGTTTTTTTTAACAAAGACATAGATGCTAATGGGCGGAACCCCATTTTAAGCGACTAAAAACCACACGTGATATGACGAAAAAATAAAATAAAAATAAGTTATCATACAATTGAAGCACCCATTAAAAGGGTAATAAATAATTAATTACAAACACTAATAATTAAACTGTTTCACTTGACTGACTTCAATAGCGGCGGTTAACGGGCTGATAGGTGAAATTTATGACGTCATAATGCTAACCAATGATTATAATTGACCGACTAAGGTGTCTTTTAGATTCTGTTCCTTTATCAATATTGACCAGTGATATGCAAATTTGAATCGTATTGTTATATCAGTAGAGTGCCATATAATTCTTTGAATTTAAGTATACCGACCCAAGAATGACAAAATGTTATATTCTTAACTTCATAGTAATATGGCTAATATTATAAAGAGGAAAGATTTGATTATTCGATAAGATTGTTTGGCTTCGAAACTACATGACTAATTAGAGAAAATAACTAATGCAAAGCTACGATATCCCAGTTAAACATAGACTGATAACTACGCGGGCGCAACCACGGGGCATAGCTAATTTTCTTTTTTATGTAATAGGTCGGCAAACGATCTGACGGATTACCTGATAGTGAGCAATTAACGCCGCACATGGACACCCGTAAGAGAAGAGTTACGAGTGCGTTGCCGACCTTTTGCGGGTTATGGATTGGAGGAGGGGAAAAATTGGGCCTTCGGTAACCTCACTCACACGGCGAAACACAACGTTGTAGTTGTTTTACGCCGGTTTTCTGTGAGGCCGTGGCGTAAATCCGGTCGAGCTGATCCATACGTGCAAGACTCTCTCACACTTAAAATTACATATTCTAATTAATCTATTTTCTATAAAAAATATTTTTAATACAAAAAAAAAAGATTATAGGTATTTTTAATGTAACTTACCAAAAGCTTTAGCGATAGCGACATTGCCTAAGACAGCGATAATAGGAACTATGAATATCGAGGAGCCGAGATCTGAGCACATTTCCGTGAAACCCACGTATCTGCCATTCACTGCTGTGGAAAACGGTGGCCAGCGCAGTGAGGGGAGACCGTCTCTGTAAGAAGATTAATACACTATTACAAACTTCAATTGTTTTTTTATGATGGACGATGGATGGTTTTTTTCGACTACTAGCGGCTCGCCCCCGCTTCGCACGGTCCAACTATCTCGCTATCAAAGGGTCACTTTTCCCTAATCTTCACCTCTACTTTTCTAATATTTCTTTCATAATCAAATCAATAACAAACACAACAAAAAAAGAATTAGAAAAATTGGTCCAGGCGTTGCACATAGGGGTATTTAACCCAAAAAGTCGATCAAAAGTCGAATATTACAAAGTATTAATAGAAGGTAGTTTTTGCTACCTATCAAAACGGTAGGGTCGGGGGGACAATAAACCGCTCGACTCTCTTTTGTTCTTGCTAAAATTCCGTTCACAATCAGTCGTCTTTCTAACGCAAGCTTCATCGCACGAACTTAATACGCAGTGACAGTGAGTCAACTTAATTGTTAAAAATAAGCGTGACAGTAAGATTACTCGAAATAAATCATATTTTAGTTATGGACGGTGCAGAACAAGGTATGTAAAATTTATATTACTATTTTTTTTTTGTAATATATACCTTAAACAATTATTTACTCCATCTTTTATGGGGTACATTAAAATGATGAGTCGATTTTAGCCTTTTCCAATATTTCAAAGTCTTTTTGTTGTATTTCCGGACTTTTCCCGGGTCAAATTCTTTTTTCATCCTGTTGTTAGATATGTATAGTAGAAATTTAAAAAGGAAATAGCTGCCAACATGTGCCAAAATGAAAATATTTTGTAAATTAAGTGCATGTGGTATTTACAAAAACAAACTTTATTTTGCGGTCATTTAAGTTAATTTCAGATTTCTCTTGTTGTAGGGTCTGCTGGTACAAAGGTCGTGACGCGAAATTATGTTTCCGAAAATCGAGGGAATATACTGAACCAGATTTTGGAAAAAAGTTGGATTTATTGGAGTTTTAAATAATTAATGACTCTTCATTCCCAACTGATCAAAAATCTAAGTTTATTCAAACATTTTCTCGTCTCAAGTCTGAAATGTAGTCTAAGTGGCAGACAGCAAAGCGAACAGAAGTGTATTTTTGAAAAAATACCATGATTGGTTACAAGGCACTCTTGAAATACGAGTTTAACGAGACCACTTCAACAGAGTTACAAAATTTGGAGTTTGGTTTGTCTATTCTACATGCTCGCATCCGATTTTTTGAAACAATACTTCACTTTTCTTACAAACTTACTATAAAGAAATGGCAAGTGAGAACTCAGACCGAAAAAGATATAATAAAAGATAGAAAAGCAAAGATCCAAGAAGCATTCAAAAATGAACTGGGTTTAATAGTGGATGTACCTAAAGCCAACTTCGGGAACACTAATGACGGGAACACTAGTAGAAGATTCTTTAACAATATAGAAATATCGGCAAATATCACCGGAATTGACAAAACTTTAATAGAAAGACTAGCAGTTATTTTAGAAGTTATATCAAGTGGATATAAAATTAATATTGAAAAATTTGACACCTATTGCCAAGACACAGCGAAAATGTATGTAGAATTATACTCATGGTATCCAATGACTCCTACACTTCACAAAATTTTAATTCATGGGCCTACATTTATTAGACACGCCATACTACCAATAGGGGCCTTATCTGAAGAAGCTGCAGAGGCTCGTAATAAACATTTCAGAAAATTCAGGGAACAATATGCAAGAAAATTCAGTAGAACTGACTGTAATATGGATGTCTTAAATAGATTATTGTTAACTTCAGACCCATATTTGACAAGTATTAGACGAAAAGTGTCTAAAAAATCAATACCTTTTAAACTACAAACTAGAGAAATGTTAATGTCCTACGAAGTTGATAAGGATAAAGAGAATGCAGAAGATAGTGAACATGATTCAGATGAAGAAGAGTAGTTATAAGCGATTTAATTAATTTAATAATTTATTAGTTTATAAGTTTTTTAAAAATTGTTAAAGATTGCAATAAACAAATAGTGACAAATCATTTTTTTACACTTATTTCAAATTCCTGTTAAAAATATATCAAAATAGTTTTTTTTTACGTTTTGAGTACATTTTAATGCCAATAAATAAATTATAGCAAATAAATAATTTTGATCGACTTTATTGATCGAATACCCCTATGTGCGTTGTTGAGTTATGCTTAACAACACATTTTGCGATCCATTTTTATATATAAGAAGATGTAGATTTGTTTAGTTTGACAGCACGCTTGACGAGGTAGGGTGGGCAATCGGCTCCCGTGCAACCTGCCTGTTTTGATTCCAGCAAAGAAAAACTCTTTGTAGGTTAATATTCACAAATTGTTGTTCCAGGTTTAGGTATGATAAGTACTCATGTATTGAACAGAAAACGTTATTATGAAGCAAAGCTTTCCTAAAACAAAACAAAAAGAATATGGCCGAAATTGTATGATGTCAATTCAACAATTAACATAACGAATGCTCTGGATTGATTTTAGTTTTCAATAGAACTGAATATTGCATGAAAATGCAAAACAATGAATGTGAAGATATTGGATTTTTATTTATTGGAGTTTTTCTGTTGTAAACATACATATATGTATGTATAATAAATACCTATGCATCATATGGGTTTGCAATATACCATTAGGTAGGTATATTTATTCTACTTTGACTTCATCAAAATAAACGTTTCGAAGAATCTATACCTAATCTTTATATATGTATGTATGAAAATCAATGCCACTTTTAGTGGTAATGTAAATGTAAAATGTAAATGTAAATGTAATGTAAATGTAAATGTAAACTCAACAATGCCTTTACCGATTTGGCTAATTTTGACTCTAATTTAACTACTAGCTAATTTTGAGTCTAGATTTAGAGACTTATTCGTGGAAGTCCAGAAAGGCTTTGCACGTAGAAATTTTTTTAAAAAAACTTAAAAAGTGTAAAATGCCGATCCACGCGGGCGACCGCTAGTAATAAAATAAAAGTCATTTTTCCTTTTTTTTGTTAAGTAGGAAACTATTGTCAGGCATACCTACATACACTAAAATTATTGCAAATAACGAGTTAGTCACGTGAATTTACTCTGAAAAGCTCAATTAGTTTCAAGTCACAACGGGACTCTTATTCGACTAACACGCGCCGTCGACCAGTGCCTAGTGAGATACGAATAAGTCGTTCTTTTCATTAAAAAAATAACTATTGATATTAGCCTCAGTGGCCTCAGTAAATCGAATATGTCGGTCAATTTGAAGGACAAACCATTCAACAAGGAAATGTAAGTACCTTCTTATAACAGCAAGTCTTTGTTATATCATGATTAATATTCGCGTGTTTGTTTTTACGCATACACTTCTTATACAAGAGTTCTTTATTTTTTTTTGTTTTTAATCATAGCATTAATTCTCTTAGGGCTGTGATCAATGTTACCTGAGGAATAAAATTGTTGCTGTCACTGACTTATACAAACATTCTGACGCGATAGCATCATAATTATTCCCCAGATAACTTTTATCTAAACATTGAAAAATTAGCCCTTCATCATAGGTTAGGTTAAAAATCGATGCACATCTAACACATACTATGTAAAACCTTCTTATCACAATTAAAAAAAAATACAATAAATATTAACAATACGCTTCTCATAGTCACTATATTAAAAGGACAAAAAATATTGTGAATCATATTGCTATTCTATTATGCCAGCTAACTGATTTTCCCAGAACTAATACCTACATTTACTATTAATTTTATTAACTAATAAATTTATAAAAAAGGTCTATATAAACTAGACAATAGCACTAGGAAACATTATGATTGTATAGAAAAATTAAACGCAATTTTTATAAGTCACACCATATTATTTAATTGCTCTGACAATGAAGGATACTTACTTGACAGTTCCTGTTAATTTGAACGGTTGAGTGGAATATTTTTCAAAGAAGAACGCAGCTAAAGAACATCCCACTACAACGATGGCATTCCTTGACGTCGAAAGCAACCAAAGAGTTTTCTTTAAACCTTTTTGACTAGCTGGCAGCTTGATGTCTTTCATTTTCTAAAATAAAACTTTACATTAGAAATAAAATAAAAGGGGAATTTCACTACGTACCATGTTGATAGTATTCACTTTGTACTACTTTCTAAAGAAGCCGCATCTTTATGGAGGAATATGGCATAATGTACTTAGGTCATTGTATTAGGGTTGGTTTTCATTGTTCATGAAAGCGTAAAGTGCGTTTACAATTATGGTGCATACCTACAGCGTTATGGAACGTTGTACACGTCATATAAAGAAAGATTGGACTAATTGACAAAATAGGCATTAGAGACTGATTCGCAAATGCAGTTACTATTTTAGGGAATAATACCTGAACAATGTATTTCAAATACAAAGTCGAACTCTTAGTCAAAGCACATGTTTACTCGACTTAATAATAACAATAAAAAACAACGAACAACTGCAATATTCGCACGAAACTAAAACAAAAGACGTTAACAACCGTGAAACGTTAACGAAAGTTGTTCCAAATTAGCATAATGAGTAACACACAAAGCTGTATTGATGAATATTTAATATTATAAAGCACTTGTACAAGTAAATTAACAAGATGAAAGTCATCGCGAGGTCGCCATTTTGAAACAAACATGTCTCCATCATTACAATTCAGTATCAGCTGTTATCATGATCCACATTGTTCTTATTGAACACATCTTAGTATTATTGTCAGTACAATAATCCTTTCATAAGTTTATCTTGAAAACGTGAACTTATATGTCATATTGTAGATGAAGATCACGTTTCCTTACCGATGGGAACAACAAGCCGATGTTCTGACATCAAATTAAGTGGCATTGTAGCTCACAAAGGAACAAGAACACAAAACATCAATTGGAAACGCAACAACAGATGTGTTGAACAAAAATTTACTATATGTAACATCAGCACCAGATCTAATTGATAGCAAACATTCGTTTCGGGACATATGGAGACAGCGTTTATTGTGTGTACTTTTTAATTAATGAATTATTAATATATCACTATGTGTGTAGCGAAACTGTATTGACATATCGCTTATACTAGAGGTGTTGGCCAACACGTGCTTAACTTATTATTTGAAATGCTGTTGTTTGTGTACCTATTTAATAGGTTCACGTGATGAGGATAAAGTGAAAATTATTCTCATTTCTATTATACCGACAGTAATAGTTATAATGGTACAAGTGTGTAATGTTGGTGATTGCCGCAGAGACGCATTGAGGCCCAGGACGTCAGGCGAAAGTCTTAAGGAACCGAGGACGGTAGGTACCTAATCATCAATACATGCGTGTATCATACGACGTTTTTCAACACACTTCTGAATAAATGATACTTTAATGAAAAACCTCAAAAGAGAAAACGAGGCGAGTTGTTAAAAATGTTTCGTAATGGCGGGAAAAAATAATCGGTATTCCTAAGCGCGCGCATGGGCCATAGACTAAAAAAAATTGTTTCTTTTTTTTGGGCTTTTCGCTGATAGCATTTTAGCGTAAGTGTAAGCGTGACTCTACCAATAATAAAAAAAAACCTCTATTACCCACTAGTGAATAATAATAATGAAAAAGCCACAGTTTAATTATAGGTGTCATTACGTGCCTAATTGCCGTGGGATTAGAGCCACTTTATGAAGATGTGTGTTGAAAATAATATTATCTAATTATCTTCACGGTGACAAGTAAGCTGTTTATGGTAGTAAAATGGAAGTAGAAATTGCACAATTTTCTTTTATTTATTTCTTAAAAATTCTTTGAAAAAATTTATACTTACACGCATCAATAAAAGAAGCACTATACAGGATATTCCTAAGGTGCTGTCCGCTAATCTTGCGTTTGGTAAATTGGTTATGACCTGTAAGAAATTACAAAATGTTATATGATATATAATACATAGGTGTTTTATGGGATAGCTTGACAAAGGAGCAGAAGGACCACTCAATGGTAAGTAGACTTGCTTATGGACACTTCTAACACCAAAGGACGTACAAGTACCTTGCCGGCCTTTTGAGGGTTATTAGGGATTGGCTGGTGGGATTGGAAATATAAAAGACTAGCTACTCTCGCGCGGTTTCACCCGCTGCTCGGCTCCGCAATCGTAGCCTGATGTTTTATAGCCTTTCTATCAGTGAAAGAATTGTTCAGCGGTTCCAAAGATTACCCCCTACATACAAACTTAGGAACACAAACTTACAAATTTTACCTCTTTATAATATTAGTATAGATTACTTTCAGTTTATGGTCTCTCAATTTTCAACTTTATTACAAATGGCAAAAGTTTTAAAGAAAAGAAACGTATCCTATTTAGTTAATAATGATAACATTGCAGAAAAATACCTTTCGAACAGTGTCCAAGAATCCACCAGATTTGAACTGTAGTCCCAGAAGGCCCTTCAGTTGTGAAACGGCGATGATCACAGATGTAGCTGAGGTGAACCCAACCGTGACCGGTACTGATATGAAGTCTATTAAGACACCTGTGCGGAAGGATAAAGTAATGAATACATCAATTTAAATTTAACAATAAAGCAATCGATGGCACATCACAATATCAGGAGTATTTTTCTATAAGGATTGAGTCAGTAAGAGTTTGATATACCTAGGGCGAAAAAAATTATTTAATAATTTTCCCTCCTCAAAAAAGAATTTGGAATTTCTCAATTTTGTGATCATTAGGTGATCATAAAATTGGGTATAAGATAGATACTTGAACATCAGAGTGGTAACCTTTTTTTGCCAAGAGTTTTTGTCCATTTTGTCGATTTAGCCTCTTTGTGGGCCTCTCTATTTGGCGCACCTCAGAAACAGCTTTATTTATTTAGATGTGATTTTTCATATAAATGATCTTGATATATAAATAGATTATAATAGATAGATCCTATGCTATAAAAATGCTATTTATTACGTGGTAAATGTGTTCGAGTAGGTACTTGGGAATTTAATAATATTTCTATATCACGTATCGAGCTATTGTATTATCAAAAACTTCGAGTATATAGATATATTTAGATACTATTTTCCGTCTGGAAGTGAAGGTCAGTCATAATTTATTATTGTTGTAAATACAAAGTCAGTATGTATGTACATACACTGTTTTTTTCTAATCCTCTCCTCCTTCGAAAACTATAATTATGCGAGATTTTAGCAAAATATTATTTTTTACCAATTATTTGTTTGCAGCGCATAACAGTTTCAATTCGTTTCATATAAATGACTCTGCTATGCATATATGAAAATGTTTCACGAGAAACCCGACTAGTTTCAAGCGACGCTAGGGGCCTATATTTATGAGCAGTATTATGAGTTTTTTTAATCTATACTGTAATGTTGACTTGCAAATGTGCTATTTTATAGCTATTTACGAAAATCAATTTATTATTTCATTTTTGGTATAAGGGGACATAAAACGAAGGATTTATAATTTTTGGAACTTTTATTTGAAGTAACATTTGCAGTGTCATATAGCATAGCAAAACATTGATGTGAATACTAATGCCTTTTATTTTAAATGATGGAATACTTTATAGTCGATTCAAGCCAGCAATTTCAAACGAGACTTCATTTAACCAACCATACTTGCACCCACTTAACACCGAGAAAGTAAAAAAAAAATTCCAGTTTATGTAAACCGGTTACAAAACTAATTGGGCCAAATTAAATTTCAAGTATCTTCGCAAAACAAGTAATCATAAAACATAATACCTATGAACCCTTAACCTCGATATAATTTAATAAATATCAAAGAACAAATGAAGCCAATTCCACAGAGCTCAACGACAATTCGAGGAAGGTTTCTAGTTGGGGAGCGGAGATCAAATTAAGTGAGCTGGAGTGAATAATGAAACAGAACCCATACCCGCTTCTGAATTGAAATTGGATAATGATACTGAGATAAGCACACAAACTAAAGTATACACTAGTTATGAACTAGCGATAGTGATGATGATAATTGAGGGCGCATTGTAAATGTAACTATTACGTATGCCTTTGTGGATAGAGGTGGCGAACTTCAATTTGGAGATAACAAAGGGAAAATTATTATTGAGCCGGCTTACATAAACCCGCTTCTCGTAGCCATAAATAACACATTGACAATATATTATTTTCAGAACAAAGAAATGATGATATCGTTATCCTAAATGTGGATCGCTTTGGACGTTACGTTCAAGTACAGGGAGGTAAGTTGATCGTTAATAAATACAATTATTCAACTATAAATGTTTACTCTCACTTGTATTGCGCGTCGGCCTTGCTCAGTACAGGATATAATTAAATACACAGCAGAACATTATGCCAAGTTAGTATCGTGTCTTCGATGGCCACAATGCACTTTTGTTTGCAAATACTAGAAAACATAATTTATAGAATCAGGCGTTACTTTGCGGAAATCCATGACATTAAATGTTAGGGAAAATATTTAGTTTTAATTCCGCGACAAAAATCCAGGCTTGTTGCAGGATGCAATCCCACTCCTATGCAATCATGCATATGCACATGCAGCAAGGGTAACATGCATATGCACACATACACAAAACGGAAAAACATGCCACGCAATCAAACCTATACTCGACACGTGTTTCGCCCCTCCACAGGGCATCCTCAGGAGATGTTGACTCGACGAGATCGTCGAGTCAACATCTCCTGAGGATGATGCCCTTGTCGCGGAATTAAAACTAAATATTTTCCCTAACATTTAACTAGAAAACATGTTGGAAACATGTTGGTGTGTTTTCATTTTGAACTGCTTTTAAGAACAGTTTTAACGTGGGAAAATCTTAAAGCTAGAGCACCTTCTTTTGCAATAAAACTGGTTGAGTTAAGATTGCGGTAGCGTCCGTACTTCGTCTAGCCAGCGCTCTGCTTCATTTATTTAAATGCCAATGAAGTTTATTTTACGTGGGAAAACCCTACATACACGTTTCTTAAACGTGTCAAAGATAATATCAAGTGGGATTTAAATTTTGCGACCATTTTTGTGTTTATAAATTACTGAAGCTGTTTGCTATAGATCAAAACAAAGCCAAACAGAGCATGATTACAGAGAAAAATTCTAAGTTATTCGTGTAAATCGATGTAATTGGGTAGTTTCCTAGGTCAAAAATAAAATAATTCGACGTTTCAATACAAAAAAAATATTGAAAAATAACTAGGTATACTTTTATTCATCGATTGATCGATACACTAAATTTTAGATATTTTTCGGCTAATTAAAAAAAAAATAAGTACCATATTTGACGCGAAAATACTATGGCGTCATAACTCAGTGTTTCATACAAATTTCATAGAAAAGTATCGTTTTTGACATTTGGTTAAAAGTATTGAATTTGACTAGTTGGAAAATAACGCATTGAGGAAGTAGCTATTAAATTATTTAGAGACAAAATAAGGAAGATGACACTTACCTAAATGTAATAAACCCATTCCGAGTTGTACAACGCCAGACAAAAAGCAGAGTAATACGGCATAGTCGGGGTTTCTACCCTGTATTTGTTGATAAGTCATGAGAGCCAGCAACGCTGTCGGCCCCAATGTAATGTCCTTGCAAGACCCGAACACTATGTAGACGAAACACCCCATAAACGATGAGTAGAGACCGTCCTGAAAATATTTACGACTGTGAATATGTACTTTCGCTATCGCCATCGGACAGCTGTGAAGTACTACTGCAAATGTCAACAATATTTCTACATAGTAATTAACAAAAGTATATTATTTGCGAAATAGTACACGTTAAACTAAAGTTCTGCAAATAGATCTGCTCTGTTACCATAAACTACTTAAAAGTACAAAAATAAAAAAATAAAACGCTACAAATAAACCGACCATTTACTTATAATCAATCTTATTCGAAAGTTCGGAACTAAATATAGCCATTACATAAACTTGATACTTTCAACACGTGTTCGATATTTTATATTAAGATCTGTAGACCGAAGGTTTTAGTAATCGACCTTATGTCTCCAAATATCCGGTCATTGCTCCAAGAAAAATGCAATCAGATCCTCGTATTTGGAGTAGATCGACTTTTACCTGCGGCACCTTGTCGATATTAAAACGTTATTCAGATTCCTGGAATAAAAATATTCGGAAGACTTGTACTATATAGGAGATATGATAACAGAACTCGGTGCTCCGCCTGAGATTAAATATTTTATGAAGCATGCGGCCAACGGGTCCGCCGGTCAAAAATATTTATCAAGGCATGTTATAATTTACCTGCGGACTTAGTCCAGCCAGTGTCGCATACGCCAGAGCCTGTGGTATCACCGTAAGGCCCACTGTGATGCCCGCAATCAAATCTGCTAAAGCCTTCTCCGAGTTGTATTCTGGAAGCCATTTTGTAATTGGAAGTCGTTTATGTAACAGACGTTTGTATCGAGTCTGTCTCTTGGATCGAAGTTTGGAAGGCGACGACATTTTTGAGCTGTGGACCACCTGATGACAAAGAGAAAAAGAATTGAGTTCTATTCTTGATCTTCATGACCTACGTTATCGAATGTGTTCGGCAAGATAAAGGGAAACACGGAGTTAATGACTGATTCATAGATGACAAGGTTGAAACTATTAATGAGTTAAACTATGTAGGTCTGGTCAATGACTGACCTTTCCTATCTAAATAGAATGTTACACTTTTATAACGGAAACGCCAAAAATAAAGATTGTGACACACATTTTTGCAAGTCATGTTTGTGAATCAAGTAGGCATGAGAAAGATACATTAAAAAGAATAAAAGAATGTTTAAACGACTTTAAATGTAGATTAATTATAACAAACTAGTTTTATATTATATAAATAAAAATAGACTTATTAAAATTATCTAAATGTAAGAATTTTAGTTGAGTTCTAAATACAGTTAATATATTTAATTTGTTTTCGTTATTTGAATTATCAGAGAAAACTCATTACATTGTTCTTTATAACTATTACTAAGTAGATGAACAATTTTATTATAACACAGCAAAATATTTGTCGTAGATGTACTATACAAAACTTTATTAAAAGTTCCCCATGCATTTGCAAGGTAGCTTCAGCGAAACATGATAGAACAATAAAATGAGAGACAAACTTTACTACATTGTCTATACACTACATCGCAAGCAACTCAGTGTTTACGGAGAACTGAAACAGCGAACATTTGAAAAATAAGGATTGAAGTTAATTCACTCAGACACGAATGTTCTAGGGTACAAAAGCAAAAATAGTTGAAAGTTACTTGTGCCGTCCATTCCACGTTTTATTTTATGCTGTCAAGCTAGACTTTAGTCAATATGGAGCCAGTAAGGCGGCGGTTACAGTGTCCTTCAATCTATAAAGCACTCCTGCAGGGAATATTGGGGTAGTTGATTTAATTTAAGACCCTTTGTGTCGCACACTTCCAATTCCCTAATAAAGCTTGGCCACTAAACATGGCCGCCGAAAAACAAAGGACCGAATATAGGTCCTCCGTATGGAAAGGCCACATTAATCGATGCTCCGGTTATTATTGTTGAAATAATAAATACGAGCATTGTTGTGAGAGATCACTGGGTCTACTATTATGCTTTGTTACAGATAATGAAAGTGTAGGCTGTAGTTGGTGGCTGGGAAACATGTACAAACTTTTCGTCTTTTTTTGCATAGAAAGCCATTATCTGAATAAAGACCCAAAAATTACGTCACGTTACGGGTAAGGTTTGGAAAGTCTGTCAGCACTAGAAATTGAAACCAACAATGGAAGGATATAAAGCTCGACAAAATAGTGTGGTGGCCGACATTTTACTACAAAAGAGTAAGGAAAGGGAGGGAACAAATCTATTACTGTCAATTTACCTCTTGAGTGGTAGGTGCTGGGGAGAAATTTGCTATTAGTGTGTAGTGCGTTCGGACACAAGGCGATGGCCGTGTTCCTCGATAATATTGAGGTCGGCTGCGTTAATTTGCGATGGTATGTTACATCGGTTGCCAATAAACCTCCAGTGAACAATGTCGCTGGTACGCTTTGTTCCAAGCAAGGTAAGTCTAACCAATTATTCGGCCAGATTGGATTGAGGATTTCCATTAACCCTTGTGTTAGTTGTACATCTTTGAAAATGTGGTTTTACGTTGGCCATGATCGAAAAGTTATCTCCGTTATGTACTGTTTACGTAATAGGCAATTTTCGAGGTTAAAGGATGTTGGGTACGTAATCATGCATTATACGAGTATATAAACATGTAATCACGGTAATGACGGCGTCGACGTGCTTCCACAATATAAGAGAAAAATATCGTTATAAAAATGACAATAAAGAAGTTAATCTAATTCACATAACAAAAACATTCGTACGTACTTCGTATATCTATGTTTATGATCATTATTAGCGATTCATTTGATCGGTCAACCTTGAATTACGACTTCCTTATAATAGATACCTATCTCAATATTAATGTTACGGTGAATTAACTATTTCGTTCTATTTATAAGAAGATTTCAATTTGCGATACAGTTTTTTTATAAAAGTTAATATTTGTGCAATATTGGCTTTGAGCGTTGACTTTCATGATGTGAAATCATATGAATTTAAAATTGCTTATTCACCTTACTAATTATGGGTGAAAATGGCAAATAATTTCAAGCCCAATTGAATCCACGAGACGTGTGAAATTAATGGTTTCAGCGAATTACATTCGACTATAGTAAGCCCCATATAAGTAGGTAGTTATAATTTATAATAGACAATACAGGATGTGATCATTTTGTTACATATCGATGATTTTAAAATCCACACATTGGACGCAATCGCTAGTGATCTTTTGTTATATATAGGCACATTTCCAATATGTTGTTGAAACCAATAAACAACATTTAAATTGGATCCGTATTACCCAATTCATACTAAATATGCGCAGTAGCTACACGTGGTGTTACGAAACGCGTGTTTTGTTTACATAAGTAATTAATAGGTACCTACTGTTTCAAATATAATAAATACATATATTTAGTAGAAACGATCGATAGTAAAGATATTGACCATGAACTGATAACGGGCGAATAACTGTGCATACATTATCAAAACTCGTTTATTAAAATGAGTCATTCAATATTTACGGATGTATTTTGGCAAGTTATAGAAATATTTCGTTCGCTTTTTAATAAACTTTTATAATATACATGGGGTATTATTGCTGCTCCAGTGAGCACGGAGTCGATCATAGAGTCGGGTAACTTTATTGGATTTTAAAAATATTCAGTAAGTAGTACTACGAAGATGAGATATGATGTTGTATACGCTAGTACTCAAATAGCTATAATCCACGTTCATAACTTGAGAATTAAAATGCAGGCTAATTTTAATGCTCAAAAAAAGTAAATCGATTTTGAAGACCAACATAACATCGCGAAATTCATTGCGGAATGTGGTGTTATCAGACTGCCAAAAATTAGGTCATTTGATTATATTAATAAAAATATATGCTACGGTACTTTAGGCGACAGTTTATTACAGCCGTTATATTGAGAGACATGACCTTTTTATTGATAGATGAAATGTTAAGTCATCATTGAAATAAGTGTCGTACGGACTATTTGAAATTTTCAGAGGTATCTGAATCTGGTATTCAAATGACGCATTGATCAAATGGAAATTCCAAGTAAGTACTTTTATACCTGATGACAGAATGAAATAAATAACCTAATTTTTAAAGAGGTTAGGTGTAGATATAACAATTTTAAAGCAAGACCCCAGTCTCCTATGAGTATTAACTATGCTGAAGTGGTATAGAAATTCTTTTACATTTTATACTTTTTTCGCTAATAAACTTTCAGTATCATTGACGACAAAAAAAGGCATTTGTGTCGATAAACCAATTTCTGTTAACTACAGAATAACTAAAACCAGCTAGAACATAGTTTTCTCATCTGCAACACATATACGCAGAGAATGGAAGCCTCAAAGGAGATAGCTATGTACTAGGGTCTCTAACGACGCCATACGAGCATCGAAATCAACTATCGCACTAAACGCCTATCAGGGATCCAACAATAATTCCCTTTCCCAAGACGGTTATCAATCATTTTGGTAGATGTTAGCCACGTAATTCCTCGATCAATCCGTCGACCCGTGTGCCAAATTTAGGGCTGTCTCGGACTGTTTTGACCTTTCAGGCTGCGTTTGAGCATATCTTCAGTCTACGGAATTAAGCTTCTATTCACTTAGGTCTTAGTGTCTACTGGTTGCTCCAGTTTTTAAGTGCTGTTGTGTTGAAACGAGCGTTTTTAAAACGGACCGTTTGGCCAGATGTACGGGTATAGTATTTGCCTAGGTTGCCCCTATCAATTAATCTCGGAAGTGACCGAGTGCAAAAACCTTACCATTTACGTCAAAAATGACAGTGTACCATGACTTGTAAAATTTTATTTTATCTATATCTATTAAGTAATCCAAGTTGGACAAATACTTTCGTATCAGCTTTTCTTTGTCTTTTATCTGACCTACTATACTCGTAGAACGATAGGGTTCGGTACATTCAAGGTCATTTCCACAATTGGTCTCTAGAGTGTTGTGTGAAAACTGATTGAGCCTACACGCACTTGAGGAATGTACATATGTGAGTTTCCTAAAGCAACCCTATCGGTGTAAGGCGCGATCCGTCACACGCGACACGACGTGACGAATGTGAGGTGGTAAGAGCTCGCAGAAACGATAATCTAATGAAAATTCCTATGGGAAGTACACATGATACCAGTTTCCATGTACTCTAATATTACATTCCTCAGAGTCAGCTGCGCGACTGTCGTATGTGAACGTTCCATCATGTTAGCAATAAGTATTCCACATACTGTGATAATTTTAAAATAATACTACTCTGCTGTTACTTGCAAAATGTTGTGGGAATATAAGGAGAAAATACACGAACACGTGTTGTTTATATTCGGTGCATTTTCCTCGAGTTTCCTGGAGGAAAAGGTTCTCTGTGGAATAAGATCGGGTTGCAACTTATGCACTTACATTTTTTATGTAAGCTTTATGGTTGTAAATGGTTTCCTGTTTGCTCTGTTACAGTTCCAAAGATTTCTAATTTTGCATGTAGTTATTTATTTTTTGTGCTCACAGAAAACTTCTCTTTGTAGATTTTGGTATGTTAAGAAGTAGGTAGAAAATGCCTATTAAATAAGATGATACTATGTCAGTGTATCTTTCGATGGGAATCCAAATTAATCTTACTATATTAAACGCGAAAGTTTGTAGGTTTGGATATAAATAAATTTGTTACTCTTTATAAAAAAAAAAACCGATAGAATGTGAATGTAATGAAACAGAAAATGGCTATAGTTGAAAGCACATAGGCTACTTTTTATCTGGGAAAATCAGACGAAGCCGCTTGCAGAAGCTAGTAAAAAATACTGATCATATTTCCATACTAACATTATTTTAAGTAACCAATGTGTACTAGACGTACACTTGTAATTCAGACG